TTCATTAAACAGGTGTTGTTGCACAAAGTCACGGCAATCTGTGAAGATCTGTCTCTAAAGACTTATGTGAAAACTTTAGTATTACAAATGTAACTTCTTCAATCCAAAGAGTTTTAGTAGTCATGTGATGATAAACAAATGGGAAAAGTGAACTACAGTACATGGCAAATACAGTAGCGATAAAACAGCCATTAATAATTCACACTCCAATGTAATGTATGGGTGTCATGACCTCATCCTCGGTCATTATTACAAATACGTTTCAATTAATGTGACTACAGGTCAACCGACTGCTTACCCTGACCCTTAAAAAAGGTAAGATTGCAAACAGACCTAGACTTAATTCACCATGAACACAGTATCTCCGTAACCACTCTCATAAATCCAGGATAAGAGGTCAGTAACATCACATGTGGGTGCTATCTTTGACTCATACCCTCATCACACAATCTAATTAGTAGCACTAACAATGGCAGCCATATTTCTCTCTACTGCCCAAATCAATATTCGTTCATCTGCATTGATCATCGTTTCTCACAAGCTGTTGGCTCCAGGATAAATGCTCTATACATTTTGGTGACAACGAGTTGTAAAAGAGGGTGGAAACACAGATGTCTACACATACAAACACATTGTGGGCACAAGTGAGCAGGAGCAGACAAATGCACGAGTATTACCTGCACCACGGCAGCGTCAGTGTACGTGAAAGGTCTTGTGCGGTTGTCTGGGAGACAGAGAGCAGTGCATTGATCTCAGAGGAGCAGTCATGAAAAGAAGCTGGCCTTTGATAGGGGCATTTATCATACTAAGACATGGCTATGCTAATGATTACAACACAACCAAATGCTACAACCCTCATCAATTGGAACAGCCTGATGAGTCTGCGAAGGTGTTTTAAATTAATTGAGATGAACTAGACAGCAGGATGCATGTTTGGGTATGTTAACTGCAGTGCTTTTTAATGTAGCGCTAGAACTAGAGGTTTTTTTATTGCTCAAATTATTATACTATTAAACTGTATACAATATTTTGTTCTGTACTGCATTGTTTACAGACTGTCAAAAATAACTACAAGATTTATAGTTGAAAAGACAAATAAAAGAGACAATTTATTTCCTTCCATCATTAAGATGATGCTTTGTCATTTATCTATAGAGTAAATGAGTTTCTCAAATGGTGCAGTCAGTGAAAAAGTTGGATAAGAAACAGGTAAAGGAGTATATCAAAAGTGCAGAATTAGCATTTCAATGAGCATAATGTTATGACAAAACGCACATGTTTTTTCCATATGACTAATTAGGATTCATTGGTAGAGGCAAACTATATTATATGTAAGATGGTACACTTCTTGAATATTACTATATTGCATTCATACAGCATTTAGTGGTTCCACTGTGAATTTTTTTTTAGACGTACATTATATCATTAAAATGTAAGCCATTAAAGCAATTCGGTCCCAGTGCTAAGTGTAAACAAATAATCTCTAAACAGATCATGATGAATAAAGGTAATAAGAACAAAACATTGAGAGTCTTATTAGTAACCATCACAAACTTAAGTGCTAAACTGGGATTAAGTACTGTTGTCTCATTTGTCTGTGTCTCTTTCACAGTGTGAATAAAGATCTGGACCTCATGAAGTCTAGAAAGACAAATAAGGAAAAGCTGAGGTTTAGTTGCAGCATATCATAACATAAACAAAAACCCTCTCTCTCCTCCCACACAGCAGTTTATAATACAAACCAACCAAATATGACAAACGCACAAAGTTATTATCACTCAAAAAAGGTCAAAATCAATTTGTTTAACAACCTCGAGAACACAATCCCTCACAGGTCCTTTTGCCTTAATGTCTCTGATTTAACTAAAGCCTCACCACTGTGTGCCTCCCTGCCCCTCATTTGCCGGATTTGAGCTAAGCTTTTTAGCTCTGCAATAGAGTGAGCACAGGGCCCCAAGGATGGCAGGGTTTGTTGGTGGCTCGCTATCTTGCAAGGGTGGTTAAACCTCTTTGTGTCCAGTTGGTCATAAGGAGCAGCAGGGCCTCGAGGCTTTGCCTTTGAAGATTTTAGACTTCTTGTTTGTAACAAAACTAATTTACATGTCCTCTGCAATTCAGTATTGCAGCTAATATAACGAATAAGATAGAAGCAATAAATACAAGCCTACTTGTCCACTTTCCTCAATTTTCTCCCTCTCCTCTTAGCACTTACTCCATTTTCCTTCCTTTCTGACATGCCTGCCATTGAAGCAACTTCCATCACAAAAAGAAGAGCTGCAATTCCAAAAGCTTTCCACCTGGTCTTTTGTTGTTGAAAAAGGGATTATGGATTCTAGTTGAGTCCGGATTATTGTCGAATAAACAAAACATTAAAAAAAGCCACATGTATAAGGCAAAGACAGGGCACCCTTGTTGCTGTGTGAAATACAGTATGTGTTTGCATGTGAACAACACCAAATCTTACATACATTTACAGGAACATTAGAGAAAATGGAAGCACAATAATGAAGCTCAGCGTAAGTTCAACCAGGAAGACCGTCTTACTCTTCATTTACTATTTCCATATTACTCTCTCTCCTCTCAATAACTGATCGGGGGCGTCACTCCCCAGCTTAACCAATCACTTTGCTCTATTCCCACAGGCCTATCATAGCGCTCCGCTAAACCTTTTAAATCTACTCTCCCCCTCCGACAGCTGTCAGTTCAGGTGATTCGACGCAACCCTCCTCCACCCCTTTTCACCTCCTGTCCCTCTGAATACAGGGTCAAGCTAAACCACTCCTCTTCAGACCGACACAACTATCCATTCACCACCACCAGTGTCTAGACCCCAGGGGGGTTTCATCGGATCGGTTCTCCCCTCCCGAATGATACTCCTGCACAACGGGGCCTAATCGCCAAAATCACCATTACATTAATTGTGTATCCCTGGCAATACATATGTATTCTTCTTACATCAAAACCGTCTCTCCTGATTGAATTTCTCATAGTGCAGCAGAAACACCTCAAGCTTAGGCTCACAAGGTAGCAGTAAATTAAATATTAAAGTACAGATGATTTGAGTAAATCCACAAGGAGAACAAAGCAAAACACACTCTCAACAGCGTAACCCTAAACCCTGAGGCACCTAGACATGATGACAAGAAGTCAAGAAAACATTGTCTGGGGAACTGTCTTTCATCTTTTTTAGTAAGATGAGTATAAATTGCTGCAGAGCAGACATTCAAGATTGTTATTTAATTCAAGTTAAAAAAGGAAAGGGCAGGAAAACTTTAAACAAAGATATTACTTTGCAAATCTGAAATCACATCTGGAATCACTGTAAGCCTTGGCGGAAACATGCTTACACCATGTCCAGAAAGAATCACATACAATGTATTTTAACATGCACACAATGCTTTATGTCTTGAAACATGCACTAAGACAAGCACTTTCTCTGTGTGTATGCTGAGATTGTGTGTGTTTATGACGTAAACATAGAGCAGAGACCATTATGTCAGACAGGTTTACATTAGTCAGCAGATGCAGAGGGCCACATCATTAGTCACTCTGACACCGACTTCTGGACCCAGTTTTATTGATGAGGCCAAGATCAACATCCCCCCCCCCCCCACACACACACAAATACATGTTATGCACACACACCCTCCTCTTTCAAAGTCCTACTGTAAAGCAACATGAGACTGTTTTAGGGTCACATTTAGAGATTAAAAGCTAGCAAAGCAAGTTGCTGCATGTTCTCGAAATGAACAACAGTGCAGAGAATGCCATGCCATTTTCCACAATTTAGTTGCTTATCTTACCTTAAATAGCAAACAATCAATCCATAGATGAACACCTGCTCAACACCAGATCTTTTGGGCAGGTTATGAATGGGGGGGGGGGGGGGGGGCACAATGACAGGGTGCCAAGTGTGTCACAGCAATGAGCTCAGAGCCATTTATGGCCTCCGTGAGTCTGACATTTAGCAGGAAGCTGCAATTTGTCAGCCTCTCAGTCTGACTCACACATCCACAACAGGGGATGCTCATGAAACACATTACCATTAAGCCTAATAGTGCTGCATCACAGAACCGGGAGTATGTATGTGTGCGTGCATGCAGTGTAAAACTAATGATGCATGTGTGGTTCCCCTCACTGCTATAAAACAATTTGTGGAAATGACATAAAAATGAAGAAAAACAGGTTGGGAATCAAAAGGAATCAATTCATCAAAATGCTCCTCGTGTTCTTCTTGTAAAACTCTCCCAAACCAATGACATTGTAAACCCAAAATATATCAACAGACCTAACTTCAGATTAACAATAAATCACAATGATGATCCCTGATCCTTGCCCCAAATGCAAACCACTCATTTTACTATTAAAATGTAGAGAATTTCGATATTCTGCATCAAAGCCTTTGCACCAAGAGCCACTTCATTTCCAAGGCCAGCAACTAGTGTCACTCATGAAATGTGAGTGGTGGAGAAGGAAGGCTTTTTATCCTGAAATGAGAGAGCATGTCTGCTAACCAAAGTAAATGGTGGAGAGCAAAGTAATAGTATAATAGCTATTCCTCCATCGTCTATCCAATGTTTTTGTTTCAATAAGATTCCCTTAACGTTCCACTTCCCTCTACAATCTCTCTTTTCTCCCTATCCCTCTTGTCAGTGATGAGTAAAGGGCATGCATTGGCACAGCCATTACTAGAAGGAAATATCCTGATGGCCTCTCTTTCCCCAGAAGATTACCATCAGCTCCAAAAACAGTGAATACAGAAAAGTTCAATTTCTCTGTAGTCAGTTATCATTATGCAAAAAGTTTATAAAATATGTCTTCCAAAGGGTGGCGCTGACTTTTGAAGCAGTTCAGTTTTTGGGCCACACAGTCAGAAACAGATTTCAAGTCGAATCAAACATTTACTCACACATAACAGGCCCAACTGCAATACACATGTGCACACTCACACACTCATAGACACACACAAAAGATAAAAGAGGTGTCTGCTTTGCTCTTACCCGAGTGTTGTCATAGTAACGATGGTGTACCAGAAGGAGGCTGGGATGCTGGTGAATTTGCTGGAGCTTGAACCCTTCTCTGCGTAGAACATGACGGTAGCAAAGATAATTATCGCCATAGTGAGGGAGAAAAGCAGGAAGCCCAGCTCCGAGGCACAGCTCTTCAAAGTGTAGCCCAGGATGCGCAGGCCCTGCGAGTGACGGGAGAACTTAAAGATGCGGAACACGCGGAAAACACGGAGAGTCACGAAAGCACCACTCACGTCCTCATTGTCAGTCATCACCAGGCCAATGTAGTAGGGCAAGATGGCCACCACATCGATGATGCTCATGACTGACCTCATGAAGCGGTAGCGACTCGGAGCAGCAAACAAGCGCATCAGGTACTCCACGGTAAAGATCATGACGCAGGCCGTGTCCATGCAGAAAAAGGCCACAGTGTAGCGCTCACCACACGGCACTTCCTTCTGGTTGGGCACCGTACCGCAGGGCACCGTCTCTACCACGTTGGTAATGACGGAAATAGCAATGAAGAAGCCAGTGACGTAGTAGAAGACCAGAGCCATGGTAGAGGTGTGTGGGGGTTCTCAAAAGCCCTCCACATGGTCTCCCTGAAGGTCATGTTGGGCAGTTTAGCGTCCTTCTTGTCCTCCTGGTCATCCAAGAGACGTTCTGCATTCTCCCTTTTCCTATCCTTGTACTCTTCGTAGCAGCAGTCACCGATGATCTCTGAGATGATGCCAAAGAAAGCCAGCTCCTCATCATAGGAGCATATGCACTCGTAGCGTGGATAGTGGAGCTTGCCTGTGCGGTAGAAGTTGAGCACGCTGCGAAACACATCAGGGTCCCGGTCGAAGAAGTACTCTTTGGTCTCCTCGTTGTAGAAGAACTCCTTCTCCGAGCTCCCCAGAAGGGTGTCTGGATAGCGGTCCAGCGTGTTCTTCCAAGTCTCAAAGCGGCGTCCACTGACATTCAGAATGATGAGCTCATCCTGCCGCCTGTTCTTCTCGGCGGGTGCGACTGGCATGGGCAAATTGCAACAGCATCCAGCCGATCGCTGCCGCCTGGCAAAGGAGCCATGCCGCTACTCCTGCCGCCATGCTGTGTCTGGCTTGGGGCTTAGGGGGGGAACAAGTCCAGCACCTTCACAACCAGCTTGACTTCAGCTCCTTCACCATCTAAAGGGAAGAGAGCAAGATAGTTTGTATGGCCAGAAGGACAGGAGAGCTGTTTGATTATCACAGGAGAGAGGTAGTAAACTATTAGAAAAAAACTAAAGATAAATGAATGTTACAGATGTGAGAGAAAGGAACATGTTGTTGAAGAACAGATCAGTGAGGACCGGTAAAAAAAGGGAATGGACGTAACAATGAAGAACACACAACAATGCAACTTATATCCTAAACTATCCTAATGGCAGTCCTACTGAGACAGCAAAAACGATATTCAATGGCATATTCAAATCACATTCAAGCTGAAAAACCTTTGTGATTACAGGGACACACTGCATTTTCCACCAAGCATCATCATCCTAATAACTATTTCCAGGCTTATATTTCTTAGATTCTGAGAATCTAAGAAACTCTATTATGTTAGAGTTTGCAAGCAGCTTTCTGAGGATGAAAGCTCACTGCATCTTGTAGTAAAAAACTAAGCAAGCAAGCAAGGCTACATAACATTGTCTATATTCATAGCATGTGTGTTGTGTACAGTTTGTGTAGGGGAAAGAGTGTATGCATTACATTTTATTTTTTTATTTTGCATATTTCATCTTGATGTAAAGCACATTGTGTTGCATGTGTGAAATGGTAAATATTACATGGGTATAATTTAATTTAATGTATATGTCGTTTTTGCCTTAAAATATATATTAGAGGCACATTTTCAAGTTGTAGTATCCCTGATAGAGATACCAGCACGAGATTTAAAAACCTGTTGGTTCCAACTACAAAACAGATTTTCCTCTAAATGTATGAAAGCAGTTGATCCACGAAGGATATTAGTTGCATGGAGCCGAATCTAACACAGCGTTTTTGACGACACTTGAGGACATTTTGGCTTTTACGTTACCCCTCAACCCGGAAAAAGCAAAACCGATTTGCCTAACAGGTTGATGACTTAATACAGCTGCAGGTATCAACAGCTTTATCTTCGATTACAACTCACCGATTGAAAAATTATCCATCCAAAGAAAAACGACCTTGTTCCAGAGCAGTTTAGTAACAAATCGTAGCTTTGGTCTTTCTGAAAGCGTGTCTGGGAGAAAACATAACCAGGAAAGAAGAAGTTATTTTAGCAAAGAGGAGAGCGACATTGGGCTACTGCTGAGGTGAAGCGGAAAAGTACCGGAGAGGACGTACCACAGATGTTTTAATTCAGTTTCCATTATGCGAGAGGAGATTTGATGAGAGGACTCCGCCGTAAAGACCGTCTTGCCTTTTGCGTGATGAGTGGTGGGGAAGAGAGATGGGAGGAGGAGTAGGGAGAGCTCTCTCTATGAAGCGAGAGATGAGTCTCTAGAGAGATATAGTAGAGAGAGAGATCTCGCAGAGAGAGAGAGAGATAGCTACTCTCTTCTCTTCTCTCTCTCTGTTTTCTCGGGTTTACTATTCCCTCGCTAGATTCTATCCCGCTCTCCGCGCAGGGCGGACCTGTGGACCAAATCTGCTTTATGGGAAAAACTCGAACAGAGCGATGCGCAGAAAGTGCACTAATGATTGAAAAACGATGTACCCATTCGTCGTCGGTCAGAAATAGTTAAAAGAAATATACAACATAATTTTGTCGTCTTCAACAACTCATACAGTTTGTTTCATACCATATATTATTTCCAATTCACCTATCAAAGGCAATTACTGCCAGCTGAGTTAACAACAGGATACATCCCAGCAGGGGGCGTAGCTGATAATTCAAGAGGGCTGAAACTGGATCACCTTGGAACCTTTACCTTGAACTATTTTAGTAAAAACAGATTCATTTTTTTGGACCACTCTGAGGCAGCAAAATAAGTTATGAACAACGACTGCAATTACCTATTGCAAACTTGTTAGCAAACCATTGCTGATTTCAAATCAGAGTTATGAAACAACATATACATTTAGAGATTGTAATATACAACATAATTATTTTTCTTTTACCCTTTACGTTCGTGTGGAAAATATTGGCTGGTTGGGAGCTACATGGTTCCCTTTATTTACCCACAAGTTGCTCACTGTCTGTCTGCGGTTTGGTGTTGAGCAAGTTCAGTATAGTTTTTTAGAGAGCTTTTGTTAAAAAAAAAGAGGCCAAAATGCTGTGAGCAGGTGAGAGAACAAAAAGGGTAAAATTGCTAAAGCCAAGAAGAGCTGAGGGTTCAGTTTTTCTTTATCGTAGGTTCCTTGCTCCCCTTTAACATTGTCATATTCTTTTACATTGTCATTTGATATTATTCATTTTATTTTAGCAGGCTTTTTGTGAATCCTCTTTACATGTGGATCTCTGTCAGGTTTCCTTCGATAAATCATTTTTCATCAAAGAGACCGAGTCCAAACAATGGCGAAGATAATTAGACTCCGAACAGTCCTAACAAGAGAGAAATTGGCTACATCTGCAGTTTGATAATAATTTCCTAAGCGCGAATTATTTCCAAAATTAATTTGTTTTTATGCTCTGGAGGATAATAGAAATAATAAAAAGTGTATTTCCAGCACTTACTCCAACAATAAAACATGCGGTGGCCACCTGGGAAAGATAGATAACAAGATTGTCATTTTCAAACCAATTAAGTTTTTGTTTGGCAAATTCTAAAATATGGTAATAATTGTCATTTTTTGCGATAGATCTTCTGATTTTGAAATTGATTATGATGCACAAAGTGCTCAGAGGCAGAAACCTTACCTGACCGATATTAGACTAGTATAATTTTGCACCCGATACGACCAGATCTTGCTTGCTCTCAGTTTCTTAGAACCATGTGCTGTACAGTCAGGGTCCAGTGGATCTCTAGACTCTAGAGACACTACCTTTCAAAGAAATACTATATAGTATAGAGCCAACATAAAATATTAATGGAGGGCATGAACCTCACCACATCTGACAATATTTTTCTGACCAGACAGAAAGCTACAATAAAAAAAGGGAAGCTTTTTTTATTTATTGTGTCTCTTTAGCAGGCTGAGTCTCAGCAACAGTAAATCTCAGCCCTTGATATTTTCTGTTTGCATTCTTTTCCTGGGACCTGGGAGACTAGAGGGTCTGGTGATCATCTCTACATGTAAGTTTACTTGTGAAGCAAAACAAAACAATAGGCTTCCAGTGGAAAAGCTCTCAGAGCAATCAATGTCTGCACTGAAAAATAGCAGGTGCAGCACGTATATAGGTACAAATATAACACTCTTACTCATATGTCCAATACTCCTACCTCGTAAGACAAAATAAGTTAGTGTATATACTACAGTATATAATTCCTTTGGTTAGGCAGTGTATGCACACACAGTACTGGGTTAGTTCATATTCTGATGGCACATACAGGAAATGATCCAGTTTGAATTTGTCAGTGGATCTCCAACATGTCACTCAAGCTTGAATTATGTGACATGGCCATCAATAGTAAAGCTCATAACTATGGAGAGAATAATTATTGTATAGTCAGTCATTATATTCAAACTCAGACAGTGTCAATGTCTCGGTCCCCACATTATTCAATGATTTGCAGGACAATATGCAGCCCTAATTGAGTCAACAGGGATCCTACTCCGACAATACTTACATTCCGTTGGAATATCAATAGGGTCAGGGAACACAGCTCACACACACTGCCAACACATATGGCTAGCTCATTATGGTTTATGGATATGTATGTGCATAATGTGAACCATTAACCCTTTGCACACACCATATTACTTACCATAAATTCACTCACAGTCTGGGTTGAAAATGTCAACTTGATTGTTATTTAGACATTCAGCCACACACATTTACACGCATACAAACGCTACCCTTAGAAGCAACCTTTTACTCAATGAATTCCCTTGCTGTAAACTGACCTCACCTTGTGAAAAATGTCCCTGCTCTAAAACCTGGACGTGCTGTCACGAAGATGGAATAACACATGTACACCACACACACACACACACACACACACACACACACACACAACACACACAAACACACACACACACACACACACACACAACAACACAAAGAGACACAAACTGCACAGAGACCTTTTCAAAGGATGAGTCTGTGAGCGACTGCGATAATTCAAATGTCACTGAACAACAAGGTGGGTTGAATTTCATGGTCAACTGCCCTCCGTAATTACCTGAAGACACTTCACTGACATTAACATTCTAAATCCTCTTTGTCCTGCAGTGCCTCGAGAAACAAAAGCTAGTTAAGTTTCAGTGACAAAACTTGGATGATTAGTTGAGTAAGTAGGTCTATTTAACGGTGGTCCTGAGGGAGACAAGTGCCAATATTAGTGGGAAATCATCCAGCAGTGAATCCTCACTAAGCCCATTACCTTAAAAAATAGTATGCCTATTATGTATGATGTGTGTGGTATCGTACAGATATGATAGAGATGTCCATCTAACACTTGGATAAAAGTGAGTTTGCCAAAATGCTGAGGTCACTATCCCCCACTAATAAAAGTCATACCTTTTGCAATATAATGAACCATGTGACTGTGGGATAATTTCCTGGAAAAACCACAAGCACTGTTTGTCTCTGGCAAGTGAGCCCTAAAGACACACCTGCAATTATCGCTTTTCACCATAGATGATATTTGAGATTGTAAATTCAAGTTTATGTCCCTCAGTTTATGTTGTGAAAATGTTGTTTCACCTCTTCACTGAGCTGTAAGATATGTCAAACTGAGTCAAGATGTAAAGGTCACCTATCATGCTATGTTTAGGCAATAGCATAGGTCTCAGATATATACAATATATAAAAAACATGTCTATGAAGTGTTTTGCTCAAAATACCAAACAGATCACCCATTCTAGACATGCCTCATATCCCTCCGTTTCAGCCCTGTTACTAAAGTGCTGATTCGGGGTATAAAGCTTTAAAAAAAAATAAAAAAAAGAGGGGGCAGAGCTAATGCCTGCTCATGCCGGACCGGCAGATACTGTCTAAATGCTGCGGTGATGAAACGCCATATCATGTTCCAAACCACATCAAGGATTATTTCTGAAACAGTATGGAGCTCAAATGCTTTTTCTCTTGCGGGTTTACCACAAGGTGAGTTCCTTTTTATATCCTGCTTCTTACACATACTCTCTCCAGTACAAGTTAGCTCTGAGTGTTAGCGATGCTTGCTAATGTAAACAAAGACCATATTATGTCCAAAACAAGTCGGGCATTGATTCTGATAGCAACGTTTCTGATAGGGCCGTGGGTGGCGTAATCTACGTCATATCGGATGGCAAATCTGGATCAGCTCCGTTGTATCCCCGTTTTTAGAGATTTGGGTACGGAGGAAAAGAGAGAGGGTTTTGTTTTCCGACACTGATAGGTCCCCTTTAAAACCAATGCTTGTGCATCATTTCAGAAGTTTTACCTAACAACTTAAAATTCTGTGGGTTTGAATAATGCTTTGACAAGCAATTTGAGACTAAGAGACTTACAAATATTAAATTATTGGTTATAGATTACGGTTTCATTTTGCAATCTTTAGTGAGAATTATACATTCATCTTTACATATATCAGGCCATGGTGACCTGCCTGTTTTTAAATGATCGTTTAGAATGATATATGTAAACTGGACTACATCTTGAAGTGGGAAGCCCTACTCTTGCTCTGTTATGCTTGTGGAATCCAAGAATAGTACTGATCCCAAGAGTGATGTGATTTTGTGTGAATTTGTCTTTCAGCAACGTTTAAACTACTCTGTGAGAGAAGCAATTTAAATGCTCTTTTGTGGCCTCCAAAGAGTAAACAGCTCTGTTGTAATGAGCACAGTTTACTGATAGAAATGCTGAAGTAAGGGTGACACTTAATTTCCCCCTTCCAGCACGCTCACTGCTGTTACCTTGATACCTCTGCAGCAGAAGGCGGATGGACAACTCAAGGCTGACACACACACACACACACACACACACACACACACACACACACACACACACCACACACACACACACACACACACCACACACACACACACACACACACAACACACACACACACACACACAACACACACAACACACACACACAGTTTAGTAAACACAACTTCATATTCAGATGTAAAACCCATATTTCCCCCGTATGCACTTTCTTCACATGAATAAACTCGGAGGCTTTTGTTTTGACATTTCCCTTGTATATTTGTTTGTTTGCTAGCCTTCCTTGGCTTCAATTATTTATAAATTCCCACAACCTGCCTTCTTAGTTTG